CTGACCTCAAGTGATCTGCCCACCTCAGCCTCCCAGAGTGCTGGGATTATAGGCATGAGCCACTGTGCCCAGCCAAGACCTCCTTAATAAATGGCCTTGCATCCTTCTTGGGACTATAAAAAGCTTTTGTCTTTTCTGGCAAGCACTTCCTATGAGGATAGCATCATCACAGAGCAGAGTCTGGTTTCTACAGAATTTATGTTCTGTCTGTGAGGCATGCCTTTTCCGGTGAATTTTCTTTTGTTTTTTTCTGCATGCCTGATACAATATTTCATGTGGTCCGCACGCCTGGCTTAAAAGTTTTGAGGCAATCTTACTTTGGTTTCATTTTGGATTGGTTATGTGTATCTGCAAATGACTTGGGGTTCTTTTATTTTTCCCTGCTTGTTTCTGAACATCTTCTGAGGGCAAAAAAAAAAAAAAAAAAAAAAAAAATTCTAAGTGGTGGGCACAGGTGGGCCTATTAAAAGCCACTAGGGGCTGGGCGCGGTGACTCATGCCTGTAATCCCAGCATTTTGGAAGGCCGAGGCGGGCAGATCACCTGAGGTCAGGAGTTCAAGACCAGCCTGGCCAACATGGCAAAACCCCGTCTCTACTAAAAATACAAAATTAGCCAGGCGTGGTGGTGCATGCCTGTAATCCCAGCTACTCGAGAGACTGAGACAGGGGAATTGCTTGAACCCAGGAAACGGAGGTTGCAGTGAGACAAGATCATGCCATCGCACTTCAGCCTGGGCAACATGAGCAAAACTCCATCTCAAAATAATAAAAAATAAAAGCCACTAGGGTAGTTGCCACCATCTATGAGGGACTCTTGTCCCTGAAGAAAAAGTCTCCCATGTTAAGATAAACAGGTATGATTACTACGGGAGTGCCTGCCAGTCTCAAGAAAATGTCCACGTGACTAGGGAAAACTTGGTCACAGGTTGGACAATTTCGGGCAAAGGCCATCTGCCAGGTATAAAAAAAGTATTCTGTACACTGTAAAAAAAAAAAAAACACGGGTCCAAGCCCCTGACATTCCCAGCAGGGCTTATAGGGGTTTCTTTTGCTTTCAAAAGGTTAATAAAAAATGGGACAGGATTCTCAAAATTCTAGGCATGCCAGACTCTCTGGGATGGGACTCCAGCTGGAAAGATGTTCAAAACTGATGGCCCTTTTTCATGCACATTTTTAAACTGATGGGCAAACTATACCAATGATAATTTGTGGCCATTATGGGAATTATTTGAATTTTCTAAACTTGTTTTTCTCAGAAAACCTCAACTACAGAGTTAAGCAGTCTAAACACTGGATGCATAAAGAGGCTTCTAACCTCTGTATGTACTTTTGTTGTTGTTGTTTATTCTGAATCTGCTAATTTTTTCACTTGTATTAAGATAAATCTTTTACTAAAGGCTACTTGGAGGTTTTCATTTTTTCTCCAACCCCTAAATGAAATATAAACATCCAAGAGTTCACTAAAACAATTCATTTGAAACTGAAAAAAGGTGGGGAGAAGTTTAAAACAAAAAAAAGACTTTTTAAAACCAAACTGCTATGGAAACTGCTTTGCCCAAAATTTGGTTCACAACCTTCATTATATTACATCTCAGGACAAATAAAAATTTTCAAGTTTAGCCATATGAACATGACCCTAACTTGTCCCATTTTGTTAGAGATATAATTTGGATCCAACTGTATTTTTATAAGCTGACAAGTTTATATTACTCTGTTTTACTGTATTATGATTAGAATTTTAAAGTAAAAACTAAATTTTTTGTTTTTCTTCATCTATATGTTTTTACTTTTTGTGTCTACATATTTTATGTATATGATTTTAAATTTACAAAGATCTCTATTTAATTGGCTTGAAGGAAAATAATTAAGTGCTTAAAAAAGTAATTTATTAGAAATACAGTAATTAATACAAATGCTTTTACGTTCACATGAGCATAAATCCTTTTTTTTTTTTTTTTTTGAGACAGAGTCTTGCTCTGTCGCCCAGGCTGGAGTGCAGTGGCACAATCTCTGCTCACCACAACCTCCGTCTCCTGGGTTCAAGTGATTTTCCTGCCTCAGCCTCCCTAGTAGCTGGGATTACAGGTGTGTGCCACCACTCCTGGCTAATTTTTGTATTTTTAATAGTGATAGGGTTTCACCATGTTGGCAAAGCTGGTCTCGAACTCTTGACCTCGTGATCTGCCCACTTCGGCCTCCCAAAGTGCTGGGATTACAGGTGTAAGCCACTGCACCTGGTGGGTAATCTTTTGTAAGTAAACTAATCTTAAAATTATTGGTAAAATAGGCTGGGCGTGGTGGCTCACACCTGTAATCCCAGCACTGTGGGAGGCTGAGGTGGGCAGATCACTTGAGGTCAGGAGTTTGAGACTGGCCTGGTCAACATAGTGAAACCCCATCTCTACTAAAAATACAAAAATTAGCTGGGCATGGTGGCGCACACCTGTAATGTCAGCTACTCAGGTGGCTGAGGCAGGAGAATCACTTGAACCTGGGAGTTGGAGGTTGCGGTGAGCTGAGATTGTGCCATTGCATACCAGCCTTGGCAACAGAGTGAGACTCCACTTCAAAAAAAACAATTGTTGGTAAAATAAAAATAAAAATGTCTTCAGAATTCTTAGCATAAATTTTTGCCTGAGTTTACTGGTCAGGAAGTTCTATATTTGTCTCTGCTAGATGTTGTAAGGTCATAGACCCACAAATCCAGCCTTAAAAGCAAAATTATCTTTGTGTAATTCTTTGATGAATAAGGCTAGTTTAATATTGTTTAAAACAATTTTTTTTTTGTAGTGATGGGGTCTTGCTATGTTACCCAGGCTAGTCTCAAACTCCTGAGCTCAAGCAGTTCTCCTGCCTCAGCCTCCCAAAGTGTTGGGATTATAGATGTGAGCCACTGCACCTAGCCAGTACAAAATTATTTTAAAAAAGAACATGAATATATGTTTTTTAATTTAAAAATAATAATTATATCTAATTTGGACATTATTTAAACGTTGTTTCAAAATATAGATTTAAGATGAAAATAAAGACAAGACAGAAAGAAATCAATAAGTAAAAGAGACATGCAAAGAAAATTATAAATATGAGAAGATATCTTTGGTAAGAAAGATGAAAAAGATACATAATTTGTATGAGAAAGAATCTTATGTGGTAAAAATGATAAAGAAAAAGAAAAGTAAATTTTTGTCTTAAGGTAGAATAATTGTTTGTTTCAATATTAAAAAAGAAAATCTAAAACAAAATTAGGCCTAAGCAAGCCATAAGATGTTTGAGCAACTTGCAAAAGGTTTGTGAAAGATGAATCTTATGAAATGAATTTTGCATGTAATCAAGTTGGCTAAATTTAGAAGGAAATTGTTTATAAATTTTTCTGAAAATTGAATATACTGATACAAAACCTAAAACTAGTTATCTATGTTTAAAGTGATAAGGGTTTACTTGAGTGTCATTGCTCTTAGTTTTTTAAAAAAAATTACAAGAGGTTTTGATTTTTAATTCTGAAATCTGGTTGGGTGTGGTGACTCACACCTGTAATCCTGGTGCTTTGGGAGGCTGAGGCAGGAGGATTGCTTGAGGCCATGTGTTTGAGACCAGCTTAGGCAATATCATGAGACCCCAATCTCTACAAAAAAAAATTAAAAATTAGCCAGGCATGATGGTGCACACTTGTAGTTCCTCCCTTGCCCCTCACCTTCTCAGGAGGCTGAGGTGGGAGGATCAGTTGAGCTCAGGAGTTTGAGTCTGCAGTAAGCTATGATGGTACCACTGCACTCCAGTCTGGGCAACAGAATAAGATCCTATCTCTAAAAAAAAAAAAAAAAAAAAAAAACCCCAGAAATCTATTTCTTCAAATTTTTTACCATCTTCTGAACTATAACCTCTTCCTGTTTTATGGTTTCTGTTTAATTTCTCTATAGTAATTTAATTTCTCAAACTAGTCTTTCTCTTGAAGATTTTCAGATTTATGTCTCAGAAGTGCAACTTCTGCTGCACCTCATTGCACATGATTTGCAAGTCATACACCATTGCCTTCTGCTCTTCCTCCTTCTCCTCTTAAGAAGGCACACCTTTTTTTTTTTTTTTTTTGAGACGTATTCTCACTCTGTCACACAGGCTGGAGTGCAATAGCGTGGTCTTGGTTCACTGCAACCTCCGCCTTCCGAGTTCAAGCAATTCTCCTACCTCAGCCTCCTGAGTAGCTGGGACTACAGGCACATGCCACCACACCGGGCTAATTTTTGTATTTTCAATAGAGACAGGGTTTCACTATGTTGTCCAGGCTGGTCTTGAATTCCTGACTTCGTGATCCACCTGCCTCGGCCTCCCGAAGTGCTGGAATTACAGGCATGAACCACCGCGTCTGGCCACACTTTTTTTTTTCTTAATTAACTTAATGACTCTCTCCCTTGACATTTTGGTAAGCTTCTGTACTTATTTTATCTGGTTCTAACTCTGTTGTTGAGGCCTAATGCTGATATGTTTGTCTTAAAGGCCTAGAAAAGCAATGTTTTCCTCAAGAATAACTTGATTCTGTGCTATTGGCTTTTCTTGATATGTCTGAATTATTCCATGTAACCAGGAAACTTAATGTGCTTTTACTTTTTCTAAGAGCCATATGTTTCCCTGCTCAAGGTACTTATTTTTTTGTTTACTTCTTCTATAACATAGTGTATACTCATAACCTTGGATACACACTCATCAAGTGTCAAATTGAATTCAAGTACCTTTTCATTAGGTTAGATTTTCAGGTTATCTAAAAGGACTTCCTATAAGAAGCAACTACACTGCAGGAGTATTTATTTTTTGGTAATTGGCCTAGGAAACAAAGATTCTGTGTTTTATCAAGGTAATTTCCTGTGCTTCATGCTGTCTTTTTTAGTTTGTTGTTGTTGTTGTTGTTGTTGTTGTTTTTGAGACTGAGTCTCACTCTGTTGCCAGGCTGGAGTGCAGTGGCGTGATCTCGGCTCACTGCAACCTCCGCCTCCCAGGTTCAAGCATCAGCCTCCCAAGTAGCTGGGACTACAGGTGCATGCCACCATGCTCAGCTTACTTTTAAAATCTTCAGTCACAATCCTTTTGTAGTTCATGAGGATGATTGAGTGTTCACACTCATGTGTGAGATGTGCCACCCTCAGACCTTGAAATCTGCAGTCACTCTTGGTAAGTGAACAACTATTATTTCACTATGATCTGCAATTCTGTTTTAATTAAATGTTTTATACCTTTTGACATATTTGGCTGGCTTTCTCAATATCAGAGTTCTAAATGAAGTCTTTTCAACCTAGAATTATCTTTGAGATTTTCTAGTTGGGCTCCTGGAGAACCTCAAAGGATGGATTTTTCAGCTTGTAGAGATGTTAAACTAATTAGGCTTGTTTGATGTATTGAGTTGTGTAAGAAGCATTGGAGGCACAGATGGGATCAAATAACAAAGTGATGCTAAATCTTCTCTAAGTTATATTTATACGGCTATGTTATTGATGTGAAAGATCTAAAAATTATGTAAAATTTATAAATGTTTGATGGTCCTAATGCGATGCTGTTAGTCATTTTTCTGGTTGTTGTCTTAAAATGCTGTATGCAATAAACATAACTGAGTTTCCTTTTCAATTGCTGAACCCTCATCAGATTTTTAACCATGGCTGTTTTAAGCCTCTGTCTTCCACAGTTTTAATTCTTCTTTAAATGCATCTGCAATCAGATTCATGGAAAAGACTCTGGCCAGTATGCCTGAATATAGGTTTCTGATAAGTTTAAGATCAATGGACTAAGTAAAGATATTCAGGACCCCCATGAAGAAACTGATAAATTCATGAAACTGACAACTAAGATTAAACAGAACAAAAATTAATTACATGAGATTAAATATCTAATGAAGACAGATATTTGAAACATGGTTAGTTTTTTACTTAAACGTTTTGTTTTCCAGATTTAAGGAGACTTTCTCTCTCAATCTAGCTATAGTTTACAACCATTTGGTAAAGTATACTTTTGTGAACAAAACTGGCAACATTTACTTTTTCTCTGTCCCTCCAAAATTTGGAAACTATTTGTGAGTATTCCTAATTTTTATGGCAATGAAGTTGTTTGTATAAGTTTAATTAGAAGCTGCTTTTTTAATAACAAGGTACAATTGGAAACATTGGTTACGTTACCAAGCTTTTAAATGTAACGTCATATTTTTAAGTTATTTATAGGTATAGTAGAAAAAGTCTGAAGTCTGCCTTAGATTAGCTTTCTAGCTTTTAAAGTCAAATCTGAGGTTCCTACGTGGTCAATTACTATTTCTGCTGTGCTTGTGTGAATTTATCAGGCCAAATTTGATAAAACACAAATAACAACAAATTGGTCTTACTCGGATTATCTTTGTTAGAAATCAGAATGACTGTAGAAAGAAAAGTTATGTTTCTATATTTCTAAAGAAAAATTAAAATATACCTGTTATTAGATTGTAACCCTGTGTGGGGTATTTTTGTTTGTTTGTTTGAGTTTTTATTATTTACCTGTGGACTGAACTGGATCTTAAATTCTTCTAGGTTCCTCCAGTCCACTTTTCTCCCATGAAATTACTAAGAATGGGAACTGCTCTTTCCTAAAGCCCTGTAAGCTGAAGTTAGACAACTTGATGTAAATTTCAAGGGTCAAGCTTCATGCCTGATGTGTGGGCCACACCAAAAGTTCACCAAACCACCCAATGCCATAACCAGAGACATTTAAACTACAAACCAGGGTGAGCAGCTGACATCTTCATGCTGTGGACATGCTGTTCCTAAAGTGATGGAACAAGATTTCCCATCATAATGAAACTCGTACCCCTCTGAATTTTTCCTTGCTTATGCCTAACTTTTTCACTTGGCATAATAATGATATAATTAAAATTTCACAGTCAGCAACTTCTGCAGGGAACTTGACCAAATGTTGCAGCTGTCATGCCAATCCTGAATATTTACATAGCCTAAAAAAAAAAAAAAAAAAAAAAAGGTTTAGTCCATCCAATAGGTAACTTTAACAAAATCCCTAATACAACTGCTACTCTTTGCTTTAACTCAACCCAGTCATGAGATCATAGATGATAGAATTGCTCTTGATTGTCTAGCTGAAAAAGGCAGTGTCTTTGCTATTGCTAATACTACATGCTGTACCTGGATAAATTCCTCTGGGGAAGTCGAGACCCCAATACACAAAATAAGAAAACAGGCCACATGGAAGCAATAGGTCTCACCTAATTCGCCATAGTCATTTGATTTATTAGTTGGTTGCCTTTAAGCGTTCGTTCATGGTTCAAAGCTATTAGACGAGCTGAAATTCTCATATTAGTATCAATGATACTTTGTGTTTTCCTTTTTAAACTTTGTATCTGTTGTCTGTTAAATTTCTGCAGGAGTAGGACTTCTAACAATAATACTGTCCCAGCGCTTTGAATGCTAGCCAACGCCTACGGAACAGACCAAATTAAACTTGACAATGGCCTCTAGACAGACTTAGCCTGACAGGCACCCCCTCCAAACCTCCCTTGTAGCTCAAATGTAGCTAAAAGGGTTTTGACACTTACTCCTAGTTGCCAGTCAATTCCTTCTGATGTGGGACCAGACTAACAACTCAGAACAGGTTACCTCCACACCAAGAGACAGTCAAAACCTAACCATAAGATAATTAATCAAAGATGCTTTCAGAGAACGATCTCAATTAAAAAAGAAATGTAAAAAAGTTGTCAGAATCAAAATGGAATCACTTGTGTCAAACCAGATTGACAAATGAAGCCACGAAGGGGTATTCTCATGCACATGCACGTGGTAACAAGAACGGTCACAAGAGACTACAAAAACAACCTTGCACAAAAGTTGCTACAACAGCACACAAAAAAATACTTCTGTGGGCTGGGCATAGTGGCTCATGCCTATAATTCCAGCATGTTGGGAAGCCAAGGCGGGTGGATCACCTGAGGTCAAGAGTTCGAGACCAGCCTGGCCAACATGGTAAAACTCCATCTCTACTAAAAATAAGTAAAAAAAAAAAAAAAAATTAGCCAGGTGTGGTGGTGCATGCCTGTAATTCCAGGTACTCAGGAGGTTGAGGCAGGAGAATCACTTGAACCCAGGAGGTGGAGGTTGCAGTGAGCCAAGATCGTACCATTGTACTCCAGCCTGGGCGGCAAGGATGAAACTCTGGCTCAAAAACAAAACGAAACGAAACAATCCTTGTCTTTCTTTACTTCCCTGAATATACCCATGTGTACTCCCATTGCAATGCTCATTCCTCAATAACAAACATCATTTTCTCTTAGAGAGCTTCTCTCTCTGTTATTTGGGTTGACCGAAGAATCGAGACCACACTCAGTGTCTGCCACTCCCTCAGTTCATTTATAAGCCAAGAGGTCAGAGGCAGCAGATCCTTGCACACGGGTTGCCATGCTTTTACTCATGTGACCTGCAGCCCAGGAGTAGCAGAGCTGTCATTGCTCCACTTGTTTCACTGTGACCTTTTAGTGGGCTCCAGCCCATTCCCAACTTCCAGTATCTACATCTCTTAGCCCAGAGGCTTTTTTATTTTCCACAGAACTGAGGAAGTTGGCTCCTTCCAGCACAGGGGAGGGTGAAAGTGACTGAGAATTAGTATCCTCAGAGAGCAGCCTTCAAACAGTAACAGCAGGAAGTTGGTATATAAATACATCTATTCCCTCCTCCTTTGGGTGGGATAATTCTGAAGCATATGTTTCATGCTGGGTTTCCCCCCAGGGAATTAAACTCTAGCTGCCCACTATGGTAGCTTGCTTAATAATGCACTTTCCCTTCCTTGTATCACTTCCTTTTTTGGTGGGGGGATGGTCTTGCTCTGTCGCCCAGGCTGGAGTGCAGTGACACCATCTCGGCTCACTGCAACCTCTGCCTCCTGGGTCCAAGAGATTCTCCTGCCTCAGCCTCCCGAGTACCTGGGATTACAGGTGCCCACTACCATGCCCGGTTAATTTTTTGTATTTTTAGTAGAAACAGGTTTTTGCCATGTTGGCCAGGCTGGTCTTGAACTCCTGACCTCAGGTGATCTGCCTGCCTTGGCCTCCCAAAGTGCTGGATTACAGGCATGAGCCACCACGCCTGGCAGTCTTTGTGTCACTTCCACACTCCCCTATCAGTCTGCCCTGCACCTTCCAAAGGCAAACTTGTATTCAAATCCTTTCTTCTGAGAACCCATGCTAATCACCAGACTCAACTGATTAGACAAGGAAAGAGCCTTGACCCAAGACAGCCATTGTGTTTGGCCACAACTCTGCTGTGTACATGGTTATGGTTAGGAAAGCAATCCGACTTTTTCTCAAGGAGCACAGAAGGAAGACATTAAAGTAGGAAAAAGGAAAGAGTAATGAATGAGCTGGCTTTTGGGAATGGTGGCATCCTGGAGGAGGCAAGTGTCCTCCTGAGTCCTGACTATCCCACCCCACTGATGGGCTTCCCTGAGAGTGCCAAGATGTCTGTGCACTTTTTTTGTTTTTTTCAGATGGAATCTCGCTCTGTCGCCCAGGCTGGAGTGCAGTGGCGCGATGATCTCAGCTCACTGCAAGCTCTGCCTCCTGGGTTCAAGAGATTCTCCTGCCTCAGCCTCCTGAGTAGCGGGGATTCCAGGCATGCGTCACCATACCCAGCTAATTTTTATATTTTTAGTAGAGACAGGGTTTCTCCATGTTGGTCAGGCTGGTCTTGAACTCCTGACCTTGTGATCCGCCTGCCTCTGCCTTCCAAAGTACTGGGATTACAGGCGTGAGCCACCGTGCCCGGCCATCTGTGCACTTTTATAGCAACTTCCACCACCTGCCTCAACCTGAGCACAGCTACCCTCACAATCTTAAAAGGCCCAACTCATGGAGACTTTAGAGTCAGACAGACCTCAGTTCAGATCAGTCTTGTGTGGTCTTCAATGAATGACTTTCAGCCTCTGAGCCTCAATTTCCTCAGTTCTGAATGGGAGAACACTATCTCACATGTGTTTGTGAGGACTAAATAAAGCAATGTGCGCTAAGCAACCTGATACATAGTTTGTTGTCAGTAAATGTAGCTCTGTCCCTTACCTGAGCTCTTCTACAGATACTGGCATCTACAAATAGGTCCTGTCTTTTGGTCGTCATGGTGACCCTAGGCAAGCTATAAATTTCCCCTAATGAAGTTGAGATAGTTTCTGTTTTTGTGCTGTGCCTGTCTGTGTCTCGGATAGATTAAAAACTCTCAAAGGAGTCACAATTTAGAATGTGTAGTCTGACCATTTGTAGTCCACATCACCCACTTTGATACAGGCAAAACCAATCAAAGAGGGAAAGCAGAAAAGGTTCAACTCAGTCTTCCCTGAGCACAAAGGTGCTCTGTATTTTTGGTGGTTTAGGAAACAACTGGAGGATGGGACTGGCAACAATGGGAATTGTTGGTTGGCTTTGGAAGGAAGCCTTTGGCCAGTTGGTGTCATTCAAGAGGCCACTGATCGGGCACAGCGGCTCATACCTGTAATCCCAGCACTTTGGGAGGCTGAGGTGGGAGGACTGCTTGAGCCCAGGAGTTCAAGAGCAGCTTGAACAACATAGGGAGAATCTTATCTCTACAAAGTAAAAAGAAATAAATTGAAACCTAGCTGGTTGTGGTGGTGTGTGCCTGTGGTTCCAGGTACTTGGAAGGCTGAGATAGGAGGATCACTTGGACCCAGGAGGTTGAGGCTGCAGTGAGATATGGTCGTGCCACTGCACTCCAGCCTGGGTGACAAAGTGAAACCCTGATTTAAAAAAAAAAAAAAGGCCATGAAGCAAGCTCTTCATGGGTGCCCTTCATTTTATTTTCCCTTTGGGTAATTCATTTCGATTCAAAACAGCAAGCACACCTGAGTACCTGATTGTACCAGGTCTGGAGCTAGGCACGAGGGTCTCAGATATGAATCTAGCTCAGGGTCTGCCTCAGGGAGCTCATGATCAGCAACATTGCTTTCCTTCTTTGTAAAATGAAGGTGTCAGAGTACATGATTTTTAAATCCCTTCTCACCTTGAGTTTCTATCATTTGTATGAATCTGAGGTCAATTCTAAGAGGAAGCCTATGAAGAAAGGCTTTACTTGGCTGGGCGCGGTGGCTCACGCCTGTAATCCCAGCACTTTGGGAGGCTGAGGCAGGCGGATCACAAGTTCAGGAGTTCAAGACCAGCCTGGCAAATATATTGAAACCCTCATCTCTACTAAAACTACAAAAATTAGCTGGGCATGGTGGTGGGTGCCTGTAGTCCCAGCTACTTGGGAGGCTGAGGCAGGAGAATCTCTTGAACCAGGGAGGTGGAGTTTGCAGTGAGCCAAGATCATGCCATTGCACTCCAGCCTGGGTGACAGAGCGAGACTCCATCTCAAAAAAAAAAAAAAAAAAAAAAAAAAGGAAAGGCTTTACTTAAAGATAAAGATAAGGGTGAGAGACGATTGAGATGTCATGGATTTTTGCAAGTACCAAAATGCTCACCTAGCATCTCTCTTTCCATAAGTTAAAAAACAAACAAACAAACAAAAAAAAACTGTCAGGTAACAGGGAACCTGGCATGTAAATAATCTGTGTCCACCACTGAGGTTCAAAATGTCTGGGCCAGACATCTATAGTCTGTTCTGCTTTAGCATTTGTTTTGAAAATGCAAATTTGTTCCAATGCAATTGATATATTGAAAAACAATTTGAGCGTAATGCAAATTTTGCATTTGTTTATGTGTGATTTCATCCACAGGACGCTAGGTGAAAGCAGAAAACGGCTTCCAGCTGAACTGAGCCATAAAGTGTCAAGTAAAAAACCAATCTGGACCAAGGTAAGAAAACTTTTATTTTTTCACAAGGGTCAGTGGACTATTGCAAAAGAAAGAACACTTTAACCACGAGATTTGTAAGCATCTCCAGGGTTAGGCAAAACCAGTTTTTCTTTTCTGGAGAGAAGTCAACAAAGCTAGAAAAAACCAGTGTGAACACTAAGATAAAAAGCCGTGTGTGATGAAATAGAGCAGATCAGAGAATGTCAGCCTGCTCCCAGGAGGATCTCTCATAGGGAGGGGCTGTCTGCTGGCTGAGGTTGAGGGTGGGCCAAGGCTCAGGGGCCTCAGGGAAGGAGAGAAGCTTAACTTAAGTTTAGTTAACAAAGATTTTGTTTCTGATTGATCAGTGGGGCAAAATACTTCAGCTAAGCATTTTACAAGGCTTATGAGAACAGCAGTTTGGAGGATCTGTCTGGCCTTGTCATAGGTTAACAAGGGGGCTTCCATGAGGCTTATCTAAGTCACATGTGAAGTGTCGCTCTTTGTAGTAAGCTGTTTCCAGAACACAGAAGGGTGACGGGATTTCTTTACCTATTGCTGTCTTCCAGGATAACAGGACACCAGTAAAATTCAACAGCATTGATAGGAATGCTGAATAGGAATTCAACAAAACATACAAATACATACATTTCAAACACCTACCAGCTGTCCCAGTTCTCCAAGTGTGTTATAAGCCACACCTCCCTCCAAATGGTGTTACAGCTGATGTTCCGATTTCAGATGACCCTCCTTCTGTCAGAGGTATTTGAACCAGAGTGACTCCATCTTGAATAGAGGGCTGGGTAAAATGAGGCTGAGACCTACTGGGCTGCATTTCCAGGAGGTTAGGTGTTCTTAGACACAGGATGACATAGGAAGTTGCCACAGGTCACAAAGACCTTGCTGATAAAACAGCATGTGGTACAGAAGCCAGCCAAATCCCACCAAAACCAAAATTACCATGAAAGTGACCTCTGGTTGTCCTCATTGCTCATTATACACTTATTATAATACTAAGAGACACTCCCACCAGTGCCATGACAATTTACAAATGCCATGGCAACATCAGGAAGTTAGTCTATATGATCTAAAAGGGGGAGGAACCCTCAGTTCCGGGAATTTTCCACCCCTTTCCCAGAAAACTCATGAATAATCCATCCCTTGTTTAGCATTTAATTAAGAAATAATGATAAAAAACAGCCAACCAGCAGCCCTTGGGGTTGCTCTGCTTATGGAGTTGCCATTATTTTGTTTCTTTACTTCTCTAATAAACTTGCTTTTACTTTACTATATGGACTCACCCCAAATTGTTTCTTGCACAAGGTCCAAGAACCCTCTCTTGGGGTCTGGATTAGGATTCCTTTCTGGTAACATTTCTACCACTGCACAGTATCTCACAAGCTGTCACCCTTTCTTCAACTTTAAACTTCAGGTTTTATTCAAGATAAACTGCCACATTTATTGTAGTGTGTCTTAGTCTGTTTTGTGTTGCTACAACAGAATACCACAGACTGGGTAATTTATAATGAACAGAAATTTATTTGGCTCATGGTTCTGGAGGCTGGGAAGTCCAAGAGAATGGCACTGGCTTCTAGCAAGGGCCCTCATGCTGCATCACGCCGTGGTGAAATGCTGAAGGCCAAGAGAGCACATGAGTGAAAAAGAGAGAGAAAGAAGGGAAGGGTGCCGAACTTATCCTTTTTATCAGGAACCCACTCCCACAATAACTAACCCAGTTCCATGATAACAGCATTAATCTATTCATTAGGGAAGATGCCTCATGACCTAATCACCTCTTAAAGGTGATGCCTCTCAACAGTGTTGCATTGGGGATTCAGTCTCCAACACATGAAGTCTGGGGGACACATTCAAACAATAGTATGGTGTTTATGTCTTTCTTAACCATCAAATATGTGTGAGACTGTGCTACCATTTTTGTTAGTTTCCTATCTTTTTTTTAATGTGTCACTGACAATGTTTTTGAGTGTGCCCTAACTCCATTTTTCCATAAGCCCTATGACTTTATTTTATTTTATTTTATTTTGAGACAGAGTCTTGTTCTGTTGCCTAGGTTGGAGTGCAGTGGCACAGTCTTGACTCACTACAGCCTCTGCCTCCTAGGTTCAAGAGATTCTTGTGCCTCAGCCTCCCTAGTAGCTGGGACTACAGGTGTGCACCACAATGCCCGGTTAATTTTGGTATTTTTAGTAGAGATGGAGTTTCACCTTGTTGGCCAGGCTGGTCTTGAACTGCTGACCTGAACTGATCCACCTGCCTCAGCCTCCCAAAGTGCTGAGATGACAGGCATGAGCCACCACGCCTGGCCTACCCTATGATTTTTAATCACACAATTTTACATAGCACAATGATTTTTAGGAACACATAAATCATTTTATAGTGGAACTGTCTGTATTTGCAGCACAGTCAGCTCTTAGGAGAGGAAGCAGCCCAGGGTAATGGCACTTCACAACTCCAGGGACAATGGTTACGTGGCACCTTCTGTGGTGTGTATTCTGTGGAGTGTGCCCATAGGACCATGAATGTTTTGTGCCCAGCACAAGGGTTCCCAGCTGAGATGTGGACAGGGGCTGAGATCCAATGCTTACTCTGCCTGCCAAAGTCATCACATTCTCTGTCCACCCAGAGGGAGCTCCTGTTGCTAGCTCATAACACACAAAAGAGGAGAAAAGGGGTTTTAATTGCATTTGGAATTGAAGTGAAATAGTTGAAAAACACAGAATTGTATTGTAAATGTCAAAATGAGATTTTACTAACAGCCTAAAACAGTGCTTCCAAATCTCAAAGAAAAGGATGACATTTGTTGACCACTTATGGGCCAAGGCAACTGGCCAAGAGCTCTGACAGCCCCAGGCCCCACCCACGCTACTCAGAGGGTTAAGGGATTTATTTCTCCATCTGTCCTGCACTTTCATAGTTCAGTGTGCTGTGGCATCTTAATTGGATACCTCTGACCAAAAGTGAAGGTAAATTAAGGAACCTTACCAAGATGACATCATGGGACTCATTACTCAATGGGAAAGGCAAAGTGGGGGGCTGGGGGGCAGGGAAACAGGGGAGATATGTGTTAGTTAGTGCACCTACTGAAAGAGGGAAAGCAATTTCTATATTGAGGGGACCATACATCCTAATTTGCCCAGGACACTCCTGATTTATGCATCCTTTTTCATCCTCAAAAGGGTCCCAGTAACCCTATTTACACTCCAAAAAGTTAACACTTCTTAATCAATAATTGGTGAAACACCCTGTGGTGTGTGTGTGTGTGTGTATATATATATATATATATTTGGTCCTTGTCCTGTCCCTGGTTTTTGACAAGGAGCTCCTAAATCCTTTGACATTTTTTGAGTGAAAGGAGTGTCTTTTGTTACTCAAAGGAACCTTAGAGTCCTTGTCTGTCTTCAGCCATGTATGAAAGTGTACGCGAATAAGGTCAGTCTTGTTGGGCACCTAGATGACTTCAGGATGGGGCTGGTCATCAGAGGAATCAATCATGTGATTACAGGGCTGCAACATCCAGTCCCACTGGGGAGGGGACAGGGGTAGGAGTTTGAGCTCAATAACCAATGGCCAGTGATTTAATCAACCATGCCTATGTAATGAAATTGCCATAAAATCCCCCAAAGGGGACAGAAGGGTTTCAGAGCTTCTGAGTTGATTAACACATCCATGGATGGAGAGGGTGGTGCACCCTGACTCCACAGGGACAGAGGTTCTTTACCCTATGCACCTCTTCATCTAGCTGTTCATTCATATCCTTCATAATAAACTGTAGGTGTAGTATTTTCCTGAGTTCTATGAGTCATTCTAGCAAATTATTGTACTTGAAGCAAGCATGGGCCATGGGGATTCCTGAATTTGTAGCCAAATTGGACAAAAGTGCAGGCAGCCCAGAAACCCAGGACTTATGGCTGGTGTCCCAAGTGAGGGCTGTCTTGTGGGACTGAGCCCTTAAACCTATGGAGTCTGACACTAACTCTGGTTAGTCAGTGTCAGAATAGGATTGGATTGTTGTACACCTAGTTAGTGTCATGGGAACCAGACGCAGTCGTTCAAGTTTCAATTATAACCCCTCTAGAAGACAATTGGTCTGGGGACAGATCTTAGTAGTAGATGCCAGACTGAGTATTACCACTCCCCTCAACGTTAGAGACGGTGATACTCGGCCATGGGCCTCCCACCTCCTCCCTTGAAGTGCAACAGGACCACCATGTTGCCTGCCTCCTCAGACACCATTCACAGCGTATTTTATGTGAAGGTGTGGGTTTATCTTTTTTAATTCCTAGGAAATAAGAATTCAAGGTGACCTTCCTGGCACCCTCTCTACCTGAGCAGCCTCCCCCATACCATTTCATAAGGATTTTCCCCAGCTCAAGTAGTAGATGAGAACTTTTGCAAATCAGCTGGCTAACCAGATGTCCAACGGTGGAACAGACGACCAGTGTCCTTTCTTGCAGACACCCCAGTTTGAGCCCTACGTCTGTCTCGGCCTTAGGGAAAAGACAAAGGGGCGTCCCTGCATGAACACTGTACTACCCACCGGCCAACAACCTCTAATATTTTTTGGGAAAGGTGTGGACCAGTTTCATTTTTTCTCGGTAAGCCTTGCGGGAATATGCGTGCTCTGAGAAGGGAACACTATCAGGTAGGTGACTTGATTGACGTGTCTGCCACAATGGTCCTGCTGCTTAGAAATCCGTCAGTCCTTTGTGCATACCCCCTACGTCTGGGACTGTTCACCTGCATCAGTGACCAATGGTTTTGGCTAAAAGTTACAAAACCACATTGGCCAGGCTAGCCTCGAACTCCTGACTTCAAGTGATCCGCCTGCCTTGGCCTCCCAAAGTACTGAGATTAAAGGTGTGAGCCACCTGTAATCCAGCCCAAAAGCCTTTTCTTTCTGAGGCTCTGTCTTTTTTCTAGGAATTGAGGGTCCCAGACTGACTTCCCTTAGGTCTCTTTGTCCAAAACTGGGGTTGGAAACAAAAAGGGGAATGGGATTGCCAGGGCTGGCATAGACACATGATAACTTGTTTCTGGTGTTGGGGGAAGGATCTTGCCCTTACAACAAGCCAGGGAAAGGGGTGGAGGGGAGGGTAATGGTCACCCCTCTGAGTGCCAACCTTGACCATCTATCTTCCTTACTGGTCAGTTCTTCAGTGCACCCGCACCTCCAATGTCCATGCCCTTCTTGCAGACACCCCAGGGGGAGGCCCTTCTTCTTTTCTCCCTCCCAGCAATACTGGACTTTTCCACAGCAGTGGATACCACTCAATAAATGTTTCTTAAATAAATGAAGACAAAAAATTTTTAAAAAAAGATTTTATGGTGGGTGTGTGGGGAGTATAGAATTTGGAAGAAACATATTTCATAGAATTATTAGACAAATAGAACCTAGAGATCAGGAATTCATTGCCTGGAGCCCATGACTTGGTATCAGGGGGTTTCATGAAACCCTGAGATTGTGTGAAACATTTTGCATGAATGTGTATATAAATTTTGGGTAGGGTGTGTCCTTGGTTTATAGCACATGTTAAAGATTCTGTAACCTCTAAAAGACTCAGAAAGCCCACCCCAAATGGCCTAGGGCAACACCCTCCAATTACCGGTGGCCAAGGTAGTAGCCAGCATCCTCCAGGGAATGATAAGCTAGCAGGACTGAGCATCTGACTCCCAGGACTTCTCCTCCTAAAGCCACAGACTCCATTGTTTCTATTTTTAAAAGGTCAGTCCAAAAGGTGTTATTATTCTCTGTCTCCCAGCACAGCTTGGAGCAGAGTGGCCAGACTAGGGAAGGAGCCTCTCATGATGACTCACCACCGTCCTTCCATGAGTAATGGTCTTCGGGCTCTATCACTCACTTGTGCTGACGCACTGGACTGGAAAAAGCTGACCCTGAGTCAGTGGTTATATAGACATGTAAAACCCTGGGAGGCGGGACCAAAGAGAAGGAGCTGGGCTGGAGGTAGAGCCAGTGCCCACCACCCAGACCCACACCTCCCCCACCCCAAGGGAGAAAGGTCATTTACCTATGCAGGAGCCAGGTGAGCTACTGGATCAGTGTTAAAACTCCAAGCAGCCCCTGCATAGCGGATAGCTTGTAGGTGAAGATGGAGAATGGGAAGAAGGCCCACCTCTGCCTCAATAGGCAGCTCCTTCCCACTTTTAGGATGGAGAATAGTTGTGGTTGAGTCTGGCTTGGGAGGCTCAGTGAGTTAGTTAGGACCCCACCCCACATAATTCAGAGTGTGTGAGGCCGGGTGCAGTGGCTCACACCTGTAATCCCAGCCGTTTGGGAGGCCGAGATGGGAGGATCGCTTGAGGCCAGGAGTGTAAGACCAGCCTGGCAAACACAGGGAGACCCCCTCTTCCGCCCCATCTCTACAAAATAATTTTTTTTTTTTTTTTTAATTAGCCGGATGTGGTGGCCTGCGCCCATTGTCCCAGCTACTTGGGAGGCTGAGGTGGGAGGGATTGCTTGAGCCTGGAAGGTTGAGGTTGCAGTGAGCTGCGATCAGACCACTGCACTCTAGCCCGGGTGACAAAGCAAGACCCAGTCTCAAATAATAATAATGATAATAATAATAGTAATAAATTAAATTTTAAAAAATAATAAAATTCAAAAACAAACAAACAAGAAAAAAACCCACACATTGTTGTGTGAGACTGACCTGGGACAGTTTTCCAGCTC